AAGAATTGAGAGAATATATACCTAGAGAAAATGAGTCGTGTATGACCATAGATTTAGCGTAGACAATTCATGCTAGAAGATAGGTTATACCTGATTGTTAATATATAACTTTTCTTGGATATCTCATCAAGGCTTGTAGCCACAATGAATCATAATCATGAAACTAAATTAATTTCTGCAATCAATGCAAAAACCCATGTTACAAGACTTTTGGGTTATTCTAAACCCTAAGCTTTATTTTCTCTTTAGGCCTCGTTGGCAACATTACTTTTTAGCCAAAAAGTCACTAAAAAAATCAAAAAATCAACAAATTATACCAAAAAGTCAAAAATTCCCATTTCTCACTGCTTTTTACACATCTTTTCCTAAAAAATCAAAAAGTCATCTCAAACATACTAGTTTTTTTATATCATATTTTAGTCAAAGAGTCAAAAAGTTACTAGAAAAACATATTCCCAAACGAGGCCATACTTTCACTTTTAGTTAATTTCCATTAAAAAATCAAACTCTATTTTCCGATTTAAGAAGCAATTTATGGATTTAAAGGACTCAACTTTCAGCCCTTGAGTTCCGATGCCTGCACTAACTGCTATTCTACACAATTAAGGTCATAATACATCATTATTTTTTATCGCAAAACAACATGATCACCTGGCATTACCAAAAATTCAAAAGCAAGTAGAAGACATTACGTAACCTCTCATCACCTCTAGCAAAACAAACCACATAAGATTTATGCCTACAATTCTCCATGAGGGTGTACAAATTGCATTCAGTGAATAAATTGTCAAAAATTATCATCCGAAACAGAAAACATCGCACAAGATTTAGACCAAGTCTTGTACAATAAATAATGACTGATTACTTCGCGATTCAAAAATCCTATCTTTGCATGAAAATGAATTCATTCCCATCCAGTATATCAAAATTATACAAGTTAAACCTTTAAAAGTAAATTCTCAGTTGACACACTTATCAGTTCAACAAGACATTTCAGTACGAGAAAGAAATCGCGAAATTGAATGCATAATTTATATGCAAAAGGCTCACCATTGGCACTAGGGTTTTTGAATTTGCTGACCGACTTGGCAGAGGCCAACTCAGGGAGCTTATCTTCCTCTTTGAAATCGAAGACGTCGGAGCTTTGACAAGAACTCTTCATCGCATATACAGAGACGACAAAAACACAGAGATCAAAGGCCGATCAGCTCAGGGATCGAAGATCAAACTAGGGTTTCGCGAGAGTGATCATTGGATTGAATGGAATTTCGGGTGGGAACGAATTAGGGTTCATCATAGATTCATAGACAGAGAGAGAGAGAGAGAGAGAGAGAAGGGAGGAGAAGAGAAAGCATTGAGTTGGGAGTCTTCGGCCAATGTTTCTATAGTCACAGAGAGGAGGAATTATCCTGTGTTGCAGGAATTCCAACCAGAGTGAGCCTTCCAATTTTATTGGTTAGTTTATGTAATATATAATCAATAAAATTACAAGAATATATCATATAGGCGCTGGTTAAGTGTGCAACCCCCTTTAAGGTTGCACATCATATGTAACCCAATTGTTAGCCGTTAAATTACAATAATTGAGAAAGACCATTGAATTGTTTAATCGTGAAAAAGTTGAAACCGAGACAACCGATTAATTCTTGTATTTGCATGATTGTATCTCACTCACTCTCTGTATTTCGTTTCTATCTCTCTCTGTTCTCCTCTCTGTGTAAGGTTGAGTCAGTGTAACCCTTGATTTCCATTAACAGCGAGAAGCCCCTACTGGGTTGGTTCCATTGACGAAGCTCTGTAGGGAATAGTATAACGAGCGATTTCCAACAACAACGGATATAATCAATAAAATTACAAGAATATATCATATGGGCGCTGGTTAAGTGTGCAACCCCCTTTAAGGTTGCACATCATATGCAACCCAATTGTTAGCCGTTAAATTACAATAATTGATAAAGATCATTGAATTGTTTAATCGTGAAAAAGTTGAAACCGAGACAACCGATTAATGCTTGTATTTGCATGATTGCATCTCACTCACTCTCTGTATTTCGTCTCTATCTCTCTCTGTTCTCCTCTCTGTGTAAGGTTGAGTCAGTGTAACCCTTGATTTCCATTAACAGCGAGAAGCCCCTACTGGGTTGGTTCCATTGACGAAGCTCTGTAGGGAACAGTATAACGAGCAATTTCTAACAACAACGGAACTACAAGGCTGTGTTGGTTCCATTGCTGAAATGAAGCCTTTCTCTCCAACTAGATATGAGGTATGGAGCTGTCTCCCTCTCTCTGTCTCTCTCTCTGTCTCTCTCTGGCCTCTTCACTTCAGCTATTTTCCCTCAACTAAACCCCCATCCTAACTCCAACCGCTCTACGCTTCACTCAAACGGAAACCCCTCCATTAGCAACTAATCTTTCTCTTTCTCAAGCGAGTGTTTGTGTTTGCACAAACAACTAAACCGTGTGAAAATGTCATGTTTGTGTTTGTGTTAACATTTTTCAGTCATCAAGTAATTGTCTGTACTAATGTCATGTGCAGTATGGCCCCAGCGGAAGTTAAAATGGAAGGTGATGATTATGACATTCCAAATGAAGCAGATGACATTCGTTTGATGAATGAAAGTCGGGCAGAACCTTATCATGGTTGCGAAGCTGGTCCGAGCAATGAAGAAACAACCAATATGAACGTTGAAGATGGCGGAGCCGATGTGAAAAAAGAAATGGTTGACGATGCTCATTGAAATGACATGGTTAGTGATGTTAAACGTGTTATTCTAGAGCAAAAATTTGATTCGGTCGAAGATAGAGAAGCTTTCTACAATGCGTATGCTAAAGCCAATGGATTTAGTATACGAATATCCAGTTTTAACACAAATAAAGAGGGAAAGGTTGTCAGTAGGCTGTGGTTGTGTTCAAGGGAAGGTCAGAGATTACCAAAATACTTGGACCGTGTTGCTGAGAAGAGTAGAGCTCCCAAGGCACTAACAAAAGTAGGTTGTAAAGCCTAATTTCGTATACGGTACGATGCAGATGTTGGTGAATGGGGAAAGTATGTTGTGGCTCACTTTGTCGCAGACCACAACCATGAATTGGCGGAACAACACTGTGTGATGTATCTGAGGTCACATCGCAGTTTAAACAGCGTTGACAAAGCTCAAGCAATGGCTATGCGCAACGTCGGTGTGAAGACTAGCCAAATCATGGACTATATGGTAAATCAATCCGGGTCTTATGAGAATGTTGGTTTCATCCATACGGATCTGCACAACCATATTCAAGCCGAACGTAGAGCAGAAGTTGAGGATGGTGATGCGCAGAGTACGTTGGTTTACCAATGTGCAAAACTTGATGTTGATGCACATTTTTTTTACAAGTATGACGTGTGTAACGATAACAAGTTACAAAATCTGTTTTGGGCAGATTCGAAATTGTGGGCCGACTACGCAAAGTTTGGTGATGTGTTGATATTTGACTCAACTTACAGAACCAATGCATACAAGAAACCTTTTGTCATGTTGGCTGGTGTGACTAGCCACTTTAGGACCACGATATTTGCATGTGTTTTGCTAGCTAATGAGACAATTGATACATACACATGGGTTTTGGAAACATTTACAGAGGCGATGGGCAATAAAGCACCTGTGTCTGTATTGACAGATGGGGATAAGGCGATGCGAGAGGCAATCAGAAGAGTATTTCCAGACGCAAGACATCGATTATGTAATTGGCATGTTGGGAAAAATGATGTTTCAAATGTTCACAAAAGTGGTTTTGCACATGCTTTCAAGCAGTGCATGGACATGGAAACGGATGAGACAAAGTTTGAGCATGGCTGGACGACAATAGTCGAAAAATTTGGACTTCAAACCAACAGTTGGGTGTTGGAGACACATGAGAAGCGTCATATGTTGGCTGAGCCATATATGCGTGGACATTTCTTTGCTGGGATGAAGAGCACTCAACGCTCGGAGAGTATGAATGCTTATTTCAGTCCCTTCCTCCAACACAAATTGAAGTTATATGAATTTTTTAGGCACTATGATCGGGCTTTTGCAAGGATAAGGTATAACGAGGCTGGAGATGATGCTGAAACAAATAACACTTTTCCGGTATTGATTACTCCATTGCGAGATATAGAGAGACATGGAGCTGAGCTATTCACCCGAAATATATTTAGAATGTTCCGTGATGAAATCTTAGAAAAAAGGGAAGTTAAATGTCAAGGATGTGTTCCTTTTGCCGGATGGTCAGAAATGCTACTATATTCATAAGTACAAAGTGAAGGATAGATCATGGATAGTAACACATAGTCCAGTGGATGCTGCAATGAGATGTTCTTGCATGAAGTTTGAGTCGTTGGGGCTACCTTGCTGTCCCATGATATGTGTTATGAAAGCCAAAAATTTAACGCAAATTCCCCCAACTTGTGTGCTGCATAGATAGACAAGGGCTGTAAGCAAGGATGGCCAGCAATGGTCTCAACCCTCAATTGATAGCACTACAACACAGACGGCCCGGTATGGGATATTGTGTTCTTCCTACAACGAAATGTGTTTCTATGCCTCGCAATCAACGGAAGGTTTCAAGGAGGCTAGGGATGCATGTCTTCCGATGACGAGCCGGATGAAGGAGTTATATGAGAGGAATTTGAACGGTGGGGGTCCAATGAGCTGTGATAACGTACATGGGACAGAACATTTCAAAACTTATTTACATATACATAAACATGCCAATCCAGATACACAATATTCATAAGGTATTTACAGAAAATACTTCCCAAGACCTGACTTTACAAAGCATACACAAAGACTAGCATGATAACAAAAAAACAGCCATGGCTTTAAACTTCGTTCGGAACCTCCTCGGGAGGCACAACAGTTGGCTGACAAAAACAAAACAGACGGCTGTCAACTCTGGCCCTGGTTACATGCCGGCTCACCTACATACATAATATAAACTGTGAGCTAAAGCCCAATGAATAATAACAGAGTAAAGGATTTAATGAATGATGTCCATCACAGAGTTAGAAATCAAACTCTTAACAGAGATAGATTCATATACATATTCATAATCATTTCCATATTCAGATTTCGCATATAATCATACGTGGTACATCCCTTAGCGTTAACAAATTCAATGGCCCATAAAGGGACGGCCTCGAAGGCATTCTGATGACTCATATGCACAGAGACGTTTCTGATGACCCATAAAGGGACCTGATGACCCATAAAGGGACGCATATCATATGATGCTAAAGATGCCACGAATAACTTTCAGAATTTTGGACAACCATTCATTCATTTCAAACATAGCATGGCATTTCAAAGAACTAATTACTTCGTTTCATAATATTTAGAAAATACTTAACATTAAACATAACTTTACAAAGTTATTACTCACAGATGATTGGTAGCCCTAACTAGATGGTAAGGCGGCCCTTCACTTGTTCTGAGGCGCGTGACCTACATGAACACACAACGGACACACACTTGAAACAAACATTCTAATTGCACAAAACTTACGTCGTTGGTTCTTAGTGTGTTTCTAACCTTAAATCCTCACTATAGAGTCTTAAACATGGCCTAGGAATGCCTAGGATGGAATGAGGATGCAAAGATGCCTTGGAAAACATTTTTCAAAACTTGCTGAAAATAGGGGCCTTGCTCGAGTGTAGCTTCCTCCGCTCGAGCGAGCTTGTCAAAACAGAGGGGTCCCTTAAGTGTAGACTCCTTCGCTCGAGCGGTCTGTAAAAATGCAAAAGTACTGGTTGTTGAAATTTTACGCTCAATACCCGCTCGATGCTCGCTCGAGCGTGAGACACAGCTCTTCGCTCGAGCGTAGGTCTTGTGGCTCGAGCGTGCGTCTACGTGCACAAAAAACCTGAGAGCTTGCAATTTACACTCGAGCCACCATTCATTCGCTCGAGCGAAGCTCTGAACAAACGATGGTCGCTCGAGCATGAAATCCTTCGCTCGAGCGAGGAAGTCAAATTCTGGAATTTTCAGATTTGCCTTCCAAGCTCAAACCAAGCATTCAATACCTCAAAACTCAACCTCTTGGGCCCATTTTCTGGAAAACACTTGTAAACTCATAGTATAAGATGTTTCAGAGATCAATTTGTAAAATCAAAGCCCAAAGGTGAATCAACTAAACACAATTTCAAATAAAACTTCAAGAACATAACTTAAATGTAACATGCATGAATTCTCATGACTTCTAATGCTCCAAAACATGATCCAAAGCAAGATTAAGCTCAAGAATAGGATGAATTCATGGACTATAACAAAAATGTGGACATGCATGTGGAAATTCATGAAGAACAACTCCAAAATCCAAGAATATGTGCATGCATGCTTGAATTCACTCTCAAATCTAACTCTTTAAACCAATTCTAGACTTTAAGCTCTAATCTTCCATGAACCATGTAAGAATTAAACTTAAATGCACAATTGAAAGGGGAATCTCCTACCTTAAGTCTTGAATTCCAAGCCTAGAAGCTCAAATATGCAACTACTCTTCAATTCTTCCAATTCCAAGCAAAATCTCTAGATGAAATCAATCTCCTCCCTCACTCCCTCTCTCTCACGGTTTAGGCAAGGAAAAGGCTGAGAATGGTATATGAATCAAGTCTAAACAATGTATGAGAAAGTGGCCTACTCAAGGGCAATGATGTAATTAACTTGAACTAATGTAATTTAGCTCATTTTATCCAATTTAATCATACCAAATCAAATTTCAACTAAATTTATCATAAAATCACATTAATTCTAATTAACACAAAACACTAATCAGTTTCGGATTTGGCCGCCGATAAGGCCTTCAATTAGCAGTTTAAAACATAAAACATGAACATGTCATTTTATGGCAAACAGATAAAAGCACAAAGATAATGCAATACATATGCAATTTAATTTTGTATTCCTTCTAAATTACTGTTAGGCATAAATAATCATGGTTTAGCATTAATCGGAGGTCGGGGTTATTACAGTCTTCCCCCCTTAAAAGAGTTTGGTCCTCCAAACTCGAATTACCTTCATTTGAAATCAACATTGGGTCCAATGGGAACAAATCCGGATATCTCTTCATCATGTCTTCCTCGGTTTCCCAAGTTTCATAGGTTCCTCCATGGTTTTGCCAATCAACTTTTACTAACGGTATTTCTTTATTTCTCAGCTTTTTGATCCGGCGATTCACAATCTAGATAGGTCTTTTCTCATAAGTGTAGTCATCCTTCAAAAGCACATGTGTCGGTTCAATGACGTGGAGTGGATCCCTTAAATATTCTCGTAGCATCGATACATGAAAGATGTTATGCATGTGTTCCATTACTGGAGGTAAGACTACCCGATACGATACCAGATTGATCTTTTTGAGGACTTCATAAGGTCCAATATATCTTGGTGCCAATTTTTCCTTAACACCAAACCGAGTTTGACCCTTTATCGAGGTCACCTTTATAAACACGTGATCCCCAACTTCATATTCCCTCTCTCTTCTTCGAACATCGGCATAGCTCTTCTGCCGACTCTGTGCAATTTTCAGGCGCTGCTGTATCAGTTTCACTTTTTTGGTTGTTTCTTGCACAAGTTCCGGTCCCAATAAAGGTCTATCACCTACTTCAACCCAACATATCGGAGAACGACATTTTCTTCCATACAAAGCTTCGTAAGGAGCCATTCCAATGCTTGAGTGGTAACTGTTGTTGTACACAAATTCAGCTAATGGCAAGTAGGTCTCTCAATTCCCTTGGAAGTCTAACACACACATTCTGAGCATATCCTCAAGAGTTTGGTTCGTTCGTTCAATTTGGCCATCTGTCTGTGGGTGATAGGCACTGCTTAGTCTCAATTCAGTCCCTAAAGCCTATTGCAAACTCTGCCAAAATCTCGATACAAACTTTGAATCCCTGTCAGACACAATAGATACTGACACTCCATGCAATCTCACAATTTCAGTCATATAGATATTGGCCAATTTATCAACGTTATAAATAGTTTTGATAGGCAAAAACTGGGCAGACTTAGTTAAACGGTCAACTATAACCCAGATAGAGTCCATATCTCGAGAAGAACGAGGCAATCCCATAATGAAGTCCATGGTAATGTGCTCCAATTTCCATTCCGGTATTAGGAGTGGTGGTAGCAAACCAGCGGGTCGTTGATGTTCAGCTTTAACCTGTTGGCAATGTAGACATCTAGCCACGAAATCAGCAATACTCTTTTTCATTCTAGGCCACCAAAAATTCTATTTCAAATTATGATACATCTTCGTGTTCCCCAGATGTATAGCAAATTTACTACTGTGAGCTTTGGTCATAACACGTTTCCTCAAATCATAACAATCGGGCATACAAAGACGGTTCTGAAATTTCAGCACATCATTCTCAAACACAAATCCTGGCATTGGCTTCGAATTAAATTCCTCTATGATCTTTTTCAAGTATTCATCTTCACATTGTTTTTGTTTGATCTCATCAAGAATAGTAGGTTGAGCAGAAATAGCAAATAACAGCCCATCTTGTTCTAGGTCATTTGGCAATTCTTTTCGGTTGGACAACAAACATGACAAACTTGCACCGGATTTTCAGCTCAAGGCATCTGCCACGGTATTTGCCCTCCTCGGATGATACAAAATCTGTAGATCGTAGTCTTTAATCAATTCTAGCCACCTTCTTTGTCTCATGTTCAGTTCTTTTTGGGTAAAGAAATATTTAAGACTCTTATGATCTGTATACACTTCACAAGTTACCCCATACAAGTAGTGACACCAGATTTTCAAGGCAAACACCACTGCTGCCAATTCAAGATCATGTGTCGAGTAATTCTTTTCATGAGGTCAGAGTTGTCAAGAAGCATAGGCAATTACTTTTCCATTTTGCATTAACACACAACCCAAGTTGTCTAGAAGCATAGGCAATCACCCTTCCGTTTTGCATTAGTACACACCCCAAGCCTTTATAAGAAGCATCACTACACACTTAAAACCCATCAGTACCATTAGGCAAGGTTAAGATTGGTGCAGTTACTAACTTGGTTTTCAACTCTTGGAAAGCTGCATCTTTTTGTTCATTCCAGTCAAATGGCACATTCTTCTAAGTTAACTGAGTCAATGGCATGGCAAGCTTGGAAAAGTTTTTCACAAACCTCCGGTAGTAACCTGCAAGTCCTAGAAAACTTCAGACTTCTGTCACATTTGTCGGTCTAGGCCAATCCACGACAGCTTCAATTTTCTGAGGGTTAACAGAAACTCCATCCTTGTTAATTACATGTCCCAAAAATGTCACACTGTCAAGCCAGAATTCACACTTGGACAATTTAGCATACAATTTATTTTCTCTCAAAATCTGCAAGGTGGTTCTCAGATGGTTCTCATGTTCTTCCCTGTCTTTAGAATAAATCAAAATGTCATCAATAAATACAATAATGAAGTCATCTAGATATGAT